GAATCCCATTCTATTATACCGTATCTACAATATGATTATTTTATTGTTTTAGAATTTAAAGATAAACTAAGAAGCTGAAACAGGAGCATATAAACACCTCATTGAAAGCAAAAAAGTTTAAAATCAATCCACTGGACTTTATTTTCAAGTTTGAAGACGTTTCTCTTCCATCCAGGAAGCTTTTTAATTCAAAATGTCAGAAATGGCGCCAGGGGGGGCCGCAGGAAGATGGAGGGGAAAAAAAAAAAAAGAAGGTATACATAAAATTATTTTATTGAATAAAAATAATTAAAATATTCCTGTCTGGGTATAACTGCATTATGAAAATCATTCACATAAAGATTACAGATAATACTTTCTGGCTAAATGTAAGACAAGAGTTTCCCAACCTGTTCTGTTTTTGCAAGGCATAAAATAGGCTCATTGTTTAAAAAAAGTTTATTAAAATTAAAGTAGCCTATGTTATTGTTATATTTGATTCATTACATTAAGGAATTAAAGGTTAATAAAATAAAAAAAAAAAAAAAACAGGCTTAAATCGGAGGCAACCAGACTTTAACTGTTTTCTTTTTTTTTTTTTCCTGAAAAAACACATTCTTTAGGCTGTTTTGTTGTTGCTCAGTAATACATTTGCGACTCTCTGCTGACATCTACTGGATGGAAGATAACATACAGTGCAGTTTAGTTTTTTACACTTCTTAAAATAAGAAAATGTTTTTCTTTAATCAAGCAGGTGAGTTAGACTCTTTGCCAATGGAATGAGGCAATTTACATTTCAAATAAGAAAAAACAGCTGCAGTCTCTTATTTCAAGCACATAATGTCTAATTATCTAATGTTATACTTAAAAAGTAAGAGAGTAAAAATGCTCTTTATTGGCAGATCATCTTATTTATCTGCTCAAATTAAGGATAAATACACTTAATTTAAGACATTATTTAGATTGTTTTTGCAGTGCACTAATTATTCACACTGAAAAAAATAGCGAAATAAGCCATTTTTTCTTAAAATAAGTGCATTTTGTCTTGAATTAAGGAGGTTAGTGAGAAACTTTGCCAATGCACTGGAAAAACGATCTAAAAATAAGTAAAAATCTCTTAAATCAAGCGTATTTAACCTTAATTTGAGTAGGTAAATAAGATACTTTTCCAAAGGAATGAGTATTTTTGCTCTTAAAATAAGATAATTAGATAAAATGCACTTGAAATAAGACAATGCAATTGTTTTTTTTCTTATTTTTAAGTGTAAATTGTCTTGTTCCCATGATGTGTCTCTTTTACCGCTTCAATCCAAGAACTAATGCACTTATTTTAAGAAAAAATGACCTATTTAGATTTCCATTTTTTCCACACTGCAAAAATGATCCAGAAATAAGTAAAATTTCTTAAATTACGTGTATTTATCCTTATTCTAAGTAGGTAAATAAGATAGTTTGCCAATGGAATGAGTATTTTTACTCTTAAAATAAGATAATTAGATAATATGTACTTGAAATAAGACAATGCAATTGTATTTTCTTATTTTAATTGTAAATTGTCTTGTTCCGTTGGCAAAATGTCTCTTTTACCGCCTCAACCCAAGAACAAATGCACTTATTTTAATAAAAAATTACTTATTTAGATTTAGATTTTTTCCAGTGCAGTGTGGCTTTGTGCTTCACAACGTTCAGCTCTTTATCAGGAAACATTACGGCACATTTAGTAGATTTGGCTCTCATCTGTGAATCTTTGAAAACCTGGATGGAAGCTGCGAGAAATCAGACACGAAAAAAAAGAAGAAAAAAAAAGACGTCACTTGGAAAATCGGGTTGGAAATCTCATGGAGTCTTTTAGGATGTTTCTAAACTTTTTTGCTCTGGAGGATGCAAGAACAAATAAAAAAAAAGGTAATTCAATGTTCAGCGAGAGCCTAAAACATGTGGAGGAGGTGTCTGTCAGGAGCTTAATATGCTGCGCCTTGCAGACGTATCCATACTGACTGGACTAGACTTCTCTGTATTTATCTACAAGCAGAAATCCTTTTATTTGATTTTATTTCATGTGATAAACCAACATAATGTCCTGCATCACTGTGAAATGGCAGACAAATGAAAACAAGTTGGGAAATAAGACCAAAAATTACTGAAAAACACTGCAGTTAAGCCGTAGAGACCAACCACCACAGCGAAACACGGTGGTGGAAGCATAGTGCTGTGGGAATCATTAATGCAGCCTGAAGCTGGAGAAACCAAATCTGTTATGCTACGTTCAGACCGTATGCAGCAGAAGCAGCAAAAACGCACATGCTGCTTCATTTCTGATGCTTGTGCAAGTTTAGTTCTGACGCGCGGCTGAAGCATCTTATCTGATCTAGCTGCGCGGTGGAAAGTGGGTCTGATGCGCAGTGGGCGGAGCTATCCTATCCTTTCTTTGTCTGAAACACTAGCAGCTAAATTTGCTCTGAACAGTGGGTAAAAAGTAGTTAGAATATGTTTTTAAGTGAGAAAGTCCTCCTGCACTGCAAAAACGATCTAGAAATAAGTAAAAATGTCTAAAATGTAAGTGTATTTAACCTTAATTTGAGTAGGTAAATAAGATAATTTGCCAATGGAATGAACATTTTACTCTTAAAATAAGATAATTTGATAAAATGCACTTGAATTAAGACAATGCATTTGTTTTTTTTTCTTATTTTAAATCTAAACTGTCTTGTTCCATTGGCAAAGTGTCTACAGTGCCTCCTCAATTCAAGAAAAAATGCCTTATTTAGATTAAATCTTTTGCAGTGTGCAGTCAGTTCATCCAGATTACCATCCTGCCTCCAAATACTGTCTAAGACGCCCCCACATACCGGCCATGCACTTTCACTGGGAATCCCCTTCAACCAGTGTTTTTCGCAGCGGCTGGAAGGTGCACTGCAAAAACGATCTAGAAATAAGTGAAAAATTCCTTAAATAAGTATATTCATCCTTGATTAGGTAGGTAAATGAGATAATTTGCCAATGGAATGAGTAATTTTACTCTTAAAATAGGATAATTAGATAATATGTACTTGATATAAGACAATGCAATTGTGTTTTCTTATTTAAAGTGTAAATTGTCTTGTTTCATTGGCAGAATGTCTCTTTTACCTCCTCAATTTAAGAACAAATGGACTTATTTTAAGAAAAAAATGACTTATCTAGATTTAGATTTTTTGCAGTGTGTTTTTCATTTACGTAATCCAAACTACAGTAACCAGAAAAATAAAAGCGAACATAATTTGCTGTCAGGTTTCTACATTTGAAGTTAATTTAGGCGTTAATAAACTGTTTCAGAGGAGTGGCCTTTGACTGTACGATCGAGTATTGGGCCCGGCTACAGATTTTTTATTTTGAGAATTAAGTCGT